AAAGTGTAATGGCGTTTCATAATTGAAATATTAAGATAATACAAGGATCTCTTTGCTGCTTAATCTTATTAAATGATGCTAATGTTAAATCTCTTATAAAAATATATGCTTAGACTAATATTTTCTCTTCTTTTACTTTTTCCCGCCAAAATAGTAAAAGTTATTGAGATGATTCTAACGTAATAGAAGATGACGTTGTATTGTTGCTGTGCCTCTACTGCCATTGGTGTAAATACTTCCAGAGGTATGCTTTTCATTGCTTATTTACGATGGCAGTGTTTAACAAACATGAAGGCAGTAAATAAAAAAAAAACAGTTTAATTGACCTGATTATAGTTTTTATTGACTAATAAATTTCGAAAAATTATTACCATTTAGCGAAAAGATCCTTAGTGAAACAAATTATTTTTTCAAATACATTTTTATTTCCATTTGAAAGTTTGATAGATATTAAGAGATTTAGATAGATAGATAGATAGATAGATAGATAGATAGATAGATAGATAGATATGAATAGACTGAGATAGATAGATAGATAGATAGATAGATAGATAGATAGATAGATAGATAGATAGATATGAATAGACTGAGATAGATAGATAGATAGATAGATAGATAGATAGATAGATAGTACATGTCAGAGAGAATGAGAGGAATAATGTACAAAGAAGTGGAAAAGAATGTCGTCTGTTCAATATTACAGTAATAAATACATACATACATACATGCATGCATACACACACACACACGCACACATATATATATATATATATCTATATAATGTATGTATACAAAACCGTCCGTTCATATGCATATATGTAGATGCATAAATCACGCTAACTGCACCACTTTACCTGCTCTTAGTGACTCCTGACTTCCTAACAGATGGAAATCTAAACAAAACCATATATCTAAAAAGCTTTCAGAATCTAGCGCCAAATTTACTCCTTTTTTTTTCAGGTAGATTCACAAGATCGCTTCGAGATTTTTCTTCTGATCTTGTTGATGAGATCTTCCAGAGTCGCCCGTCCGACTGGGCCCGGCTCTAAAAGGAACAACGGCAAGTGGCCAAGAGACACGCTGCGCAGCGTTGTATGTAGCCCAGTCGTAGACACGGAAGTATTTGCAGAAAGTAAATTAGCTTCTAAATAAAGGAAATAAGTAGGAAAGTATAAATAAAACAAAAGTGAAATGTAAGTAGGGGAGAGCGGTAGGTCGTTTTTGAATGAACAGATAATGGGAGAGATTTGTTTGGATTATTGCCAGAAAAGAAAACTAGTAAAAGGCTATGGCGAGACACTCAGCTGGCCGGAACAATGACTAATAGATGAAGAGACTCTACCATCCACCGCCACAGATACACACGAACGAGTGCAGGAAAAAGAAGAAAAAATGATTGAAAAAATCGAGCAATTGACAAATTAGTCGAATGGCTAAAATGGACTGCAGGAAACGTTAAGATAATCGGAAAATATTTGAGAAACATGTCGATTATCGAAACAGCAAATATATCATCAGTGATGGACTCAACACATACAAATTAATATATTAAAACTACTTCATCCATATTTCGTATCTGGAGGAAGAATATTGTCGAATTGTCTGGTGTATAGAAAATTATGATTTATAAAGTAGCTATATCAAACGAATGATAAAATGGGAATAAATCCTATGTGACACGTTTCGTTCTTCGAAAGAACTTCTTCAGAGTAAATAATGGTTTTACTGAAGGAATATATGTAAAGTGAAGTAACGAAATGTGACATTAGTCGATTATAGTTATACATCGAGAAAAGTGTTGAAGAACTACTGTTGAGATATTGGAGACATAGGAATCATCACTGTATGACGATCGGTTTTACACTTCAATACGATCTTCGAGTTACGCATCATTAAATTCAAATTTAAATTTTTAATTCTGTGCACAAAAACTTCCTACTACTTTTTTTTCTGATTTTATCATTGTTGTTTTAAATATCTCACATTGTAATTGCAGTAAATTTGTTATGAAAGGTGATATACTGTATGAATCTGGACGTAAATTTACCATGAAAGACTCAGAAATTCAAAGTCTATACATTTCATCATAATAATTTACTTTCTCTTTTAATTGAAATCTTGTTGTTTAATTCGATTCATTGAATATTGATGTCACAGCGTCATTGTCGTGTATGAACGTCTGTTACTTCTGTTATTTATTTTGAGATTCATTATAAAATCTAAAGAATAATCGACAATGTTATCAGTCCTGATCTGACATCTCGAATTCACCGACTTTCTCACAACATAGCTTCCCTGTATATCTCTTCTATATATATTTTCATTGTTCTGATGAGCTTTCCTCTTTGGTCTATCGAGTTTACGAATTTAAGCGCAGATTGGCAGCTAGCTTTTATCATTTTATAGTTGAAATTGTTACGTGTTAAGTTCTATGGCGAAAGTTTCTTCTCTTTTTCGTTTGTGAAAATCTTTTCCAGCTTCTTACTTTCTAGTCAACTTTGATTTTCAAAAATGTAAATGCAATATAAATCGTTATCGTCTATCTTCTTAATTCCTGTTCCTTTATTGTTCACTCTCCTAAATAAATTTCTCATATTCTTTCACACTCAGTAACACTACCCCTGCGTCTTAGTGGCTTTATCGCCTTGATCGTGACGAAATGATTTTAAAAAATGTTGAAATCATGCTCATGCATTACGATGAACTACTCATGCTTTGAGTGCAATATTTTGTAAAAAACATCCCTTTTCTTTCATTGAAATTTGTAGCTGATGCATCTATATATTTCTTGTGATATTTTTACAGTCTATCCTGTAAATCTCTAGTTTAGGTTTTAGATTATCTATTCTTTTAGATTGTTACAAACTCTAATTTTTACTAACATTTACAAAAAATGATGTCATATATTTTAAGTCCTTACCGTTATAAACAGGCTTTCACATGCAAGTCTTTAAGTATATTTGCCAATTATTATATTAATATGCAGTAATTACAGGGAATTTGTTTATTACTGAATAAGAGTAAAAGAAATCACAACCCATTCTACATCCAATAGAATCTTACATTAATACTAGTTTGCCAAACTGACAGCTTATGCTAAGTTCGTACTATAATGAAAAGTTTCTGAATGCAAGTTCATATAAATATATATATATATATATATATATATATATATATATATGAAGTGAAGATGATACAAATTGAAATATTTATTAATGACGCATATACGAACTGTATGTGAGGAAAAATGCCATGTGATGTCTGAGGATAAGTGGTGACTATAATTCAAATTAAATTAGATTGCCTTATCACTTCCATTGTCCAGACTCATGAGCGTCTACCCGCCTATTGGTTTTATCTATATCTATATTAGGGCCGTTGTTTGAGTGTTGTTAGATTTTTAAACAAGAGAGCTATTATATATATATATATATATATATATATATATATATATATATATATATATAATTATTTATTTAAAAAATATGATTCCAACGCTATATAAGAGTTCTCATGTTTCAAAACAATCATCTTCAAGCGAAATTTTTTTTTGAATCTCTCTCTCTCTCTCTCTCTCTATATATATATATATATATATATATATGTGTGTGTGTGTGTGTGTGTGTGTGTGTGTATAATTTGCTATATTTATAGGGGAAGAGTGCTCAATATCGAAGATATAGATATTGGGGACTTAGGAATCATCACTGTAAAACGACCAGTTTCACACTTCAATACAATCTTCGAGTCAGTGAATGAAAAGGAAAGAAAAGAAAGAAAGAAAATGAAGATGGAAGAGGCGATAATGTTCTCATGCGTTTGACGTAAATTTCTGTGAGATAGAAAACTTTGTTCGAATCTTTAAATGATTATAATTAGGCTCGCTGGTGCAATATTTTGTTAAAGTTGTTAAGCTCAAATATTTAATGATGCAACAAGGGAATTTCCACGAGTATTTTGTAGTTGTGAAATTCCCAAAGAGTTCATTCAATCATTAAATTAAGAATTATGTGTTACCAGAAATTTCAAATAAGAAAACCATGAAAATTTCACGGGTACCGCTAGTATCTAATAATACTTGATGTATATTAATCCTACTCTTTGATGTTACTTTCCTGATAGACTATCCGCCTCGGTCTGGGGTAATGGTTAACGAGGCTAGTTTGGTTGACTCATACAATATTCGAAAATAACCCAGTGAGGATTGACTGACAAGAAAGTTACAAAGAAAGATCTCTTTAGTTTTTTACAATAATGTTCACCCTATAAAAGGCCCAAGAGCCACTCGAGTAAGAGGCACAATTTATGGGGATATGTGGAGAAGATAACGGTTGGCACTAGAGTTTAATAAGTTAAGATTGTTGTGATCGGGGAAGCAGTCGGTTCCACTAAATTCTCGAGTGGAATTTACATCTCACCAATTGGAATACGAAGATTGGTTCGCTAAAATGTGCGTGCTATGGTGGGTCTTATTCAAGAAAAAGCAAAACAAAATAAAAGACATTAAACGCAAGCCATCAATCTGCCACTGTTTGGCATGCTACTAGCGTTTACCGCTGGTGGCCCACTTTCGGACCGCAGGCGTGCTCCTCTCCACAATGTCACCACTGGCCGCCGGTAGCTATCACCAGGGGAACGGCTTCCGTGTAGGGGAGTGAACGCGAATGACTATTCCACCATCCATTTTAACCTTTGAAATCAGTGGTCACAAATGTTAACCAATGTCCATGGAAACAGAAGACTAAGATAATAAGGATGACTGGTGGGTTCAGCGCTACTTATCAGATTCATCTTGGATCTAATAGACTCTTTCTTTCTCTTTATGCACGTATTTTGCTGACGACGTGTGTAGTAATGTTTACCGTTGTATTATCGGTGTCAGTGTCGTCCTAGCTACAAAAACAAAAAACAAAACAAAAACCACATGCCAGGAACGCTAGCTCTCTTGCCTTACCGCTTGCAAATGTTAGAATCTAAATATTACATTTGTGATCACATAAATGGTTCTTCTGTCACAGCACACACGTACACACGCATCAGATTTCTCTGAGAATAGCTTCTCTTAGATCAGCGAGCTTCTTACGCTACGATTGCATCATTTACTGAGTGAATTTACGGAATTCATTCAAACTTTTTTCTGCGCTTTTACTCTTCTTTCTCTCTTCTTTCTCTCTTTTTTCTCTCTTCTTTCTCTCTTCTTTCTCTCTTCTTTCTCTCTTCTCACACATTATTCGCCCGGATGTCCGCGTCTATGTTTTTTTTTTTTTTTTTTTTATGACGACAGAAAATAAAATATATTTGTAAAAGCTGACAGTTTTCTCATGGAATAATAAATGAACTCGAATTGCAACCTCAAATCAAATAAGAATTAAAAAACGCTTACAAGGAAAACGCTTTGAAAAACAGTTTTCAAATTCAAATTCAGTTCAATTAATCATTTTAATTTATTCGGACCACAACTAGTACAAGTAACGCTTTGATAGGGAATCTTTTTTTGGCTTACATTTATATATTTATTAAAAAGAAACAAAAACAAAACAGAAATAAAACATAGATAAGTTATTTACATTATTTACATGCGAACGATTGTCCTTATCTTTGTTATTACATCCTTTCGGCCATTGTACTCTCCGGCCTTCACCCAGTGTTTGTCGGTTGGTGCAACCGTCATGGAATTTAGAACTGAACACTTTATTTAATTTATAGAGATAGACTGTTTTCATTTCACTGGATATGTCTAGGGATATACCGTCTTGTTTTAATTTTGTAATGCCCAATTATTGCTTGCCGTGTTTCCAATGAATCTAACCACGATATCACACGGATTTAAGTGCAGTACTAGATTGACAGTTAGGTTTCATAATTTCATTGTTGAAATTGCTAGATGAAACCATAAGTTACATGCTAATTGTTTCTTCTCGCGCAGGTTTCACTTGTGGAAGTCTCTTCAGGTTTCTTACTTTTCTGTCAACTATGATCTTTAAAAATGTAAATGCAGTACCAATCGTCATCATCTGTGTGCTTCACTCCTGTTCTTATATTCTTCCTCTCTGTAACCATTTGCATCCTCGTGGCTTTATTACTTTGAGGTGAAAAAAGAAATCTGCACTGCCCGACTTGAAATCACAATTACTAATTCATGAACCAACGATATGATATATTGGGGACCAAAATGGAAAAATGAGGGCAATAGTCTGCAAGTAAATAATGATAACTCTTAAATTCAGATAGATATGACAGATAAGTTTCTTTTGTGTGAACATGTCAAATTCTAGCTGTTTGGATGGAAAAAGAAATGTATCCCCCCAAAAAAAAAAAAAACATTAAAGAGATACAGAAGTATAGAATTTTGTAAGTATTTTTATTTTACAGGCGATGGGGTAATTGTTTTAATTTTTTAATAATATTATTTATAAGCTCTATGTAAAAGGAACGAATATTTGAGTTCTTTAAGTTAAAAGAAAATGGAGTGTTTAATATTTTTCGTTTGAAAAATGTTGAGAAATATTTAACAGGTACTATACGTGTCTTTCCACAAAGATAGGGATTTTTAAGCGTAGCTTGGATGGGGAACAAGGCCGAAAGTATGGAGAACCCAGTAAGAATCTAACTCATTATTAAGTTATAATTGATTTGGTGCGACAAGCTTGCTAATCATTACATCAAGTGGTCCTTCCATGAAGAGAGGACGTAGCACAAATTAAGTTTAATGTGGGAATCCTCAACGGTTAATAATGTTTTTTCATTCGACTAAACTTGTGCCCAAATCTTCGTAGTCCTAAAATTAGACCACATGGTACACCATAAATGCAAACTCCACTTACGACAACTGCTGCTGCTGCTGATAACATCATGCCTGAAAAACCTATGACCATCAGAGAAGACGAGACAAGCATTGAGATATTTGTGAAGGTATAGATCATTACTATTATGAGAAGTACATTTGAAAAGAATAAAAGTTTATTAAAAAGAAAAGTTATCAATAAACTTACTCCCCACAAGTTTCCGCTTCATTTTTAGTTATCTTTTATGAAATTGCTTTTAAAACTTATTTTACTGTGTATGAATTGTTTTTATTAAGAAGAATTAAGTTGTGTTTTTTATTTGTTATTCTAAACTTAAAATAATTGGAAGGACCAACAAGACAATCATTGCTATCGCCATGAGCAATGATAGTAAGATTGTCACCCTATTTATAGTTGGGTGATATTGAAAATGAATCCAAGTCTTAGTTGAATACTTTAACCAATCAAAACACAAAACTAACAAGTGAATTCATCGCCTAAAAAATGATCTAATATTTCTTGTCTTCAGTGAATTTTATTTTATTTTATTTGTTGAGTGGGGGGGTGTCAATTATTCTTATTAGTAGTACTCGTGACAGTTTCACTTTTGTCCTATTTGAATCTTCTAATGAATTGAATAAGCTCCTCTAGAATTTCAAGATTATAAGATATTTATGATCCTTCCTCTATAGAATTGTTAAATAGCTTAACGACTTTAATAGAATATTGCAATATCAGTCATAAGCATGAACGTAGGTAATAATTCAAAGAAGTAAGAGGATACAAATGAGAAGATGAAAAAGGTTTTATATCTCGCAAAAGAATACATTAAACGCGTGATAACGTTATTCCCCTCCTCTATCCTTCTTTCTTTCTTTCTTTCTTGTTTGTTTCTTTCTCTTTCTTTCTTTCTTTCTCTTTCTTTCTTTCTTTCTTTCTTTCTTTCTTTCTTTCTTTCTTATTATTGCGTATACTTTTTCTTCTCAACAAAACCAAACAGCGTCTTTGATATATTTTTTCATCCGTCTTTCTTCGCAATGGAAACGGTATAGTCCATTATTTATCTGAGGCAATGGCAGGGTATAGTAGCACGTGCTAGTTCACTAACTAACGGAGGAAGAAAAAGAATTATAAATTCATGGCGCGGTGGGAAAAATGTGTTCATTCTGTTGGATAAGGCTGTAGAATGGATTGGCTGAAATGTGGTATTAATATTAGCAAAAAAAAAAAAAAAAAGTATGACTTCAATTGCTATTGCAAATCTCGAAATGTTAATAACTCTTCCCAGAATTATAGAATTACAGAATTATGTTTTCCTTTCAAACTTTTGCTATTATTTTTTATTCTATAAAGGAATTTCGCCACTTTCTTGTTTCTGCTCTCTGTAACTACCGTAATTAATTTATTTTATATTCATTAATGCTTTTTTTAAAAGAACCAACATTTGTTATTTTTCTTGTCATTTTGTCCTGTAAATAAATATTGATCAAATTCCCACCACCTTAGACTTCGTTATATCAATATTTATTGTTTACAATTCAGAAGCTTAGAAATATATTTTCTCTAAAATAATGCATTTTTAGTTCATGTTCAAGACAAACGCTGTCAAAGAGTTTGTTATTAATATTGAGTGTTGTTGATATTTTCCGTCAGTCTACAAGCCTGTGCATAACTGAAACAATTTGTGACGTAATTCTTTTTATTTCAAATGCCCTTAAATTCTTAGCTATGCTCTTAAGCACAAAACAAGATTGGCAGTTCAACTGCGACGTATTTCATCTAAAACCTTTACAACTAAATAATAACGAAAAACAAGCAGCAAACAACTTAAGAAATAAATGATGGGAATGATGAAGATGAAGAAAAATATTATGATGCTGATGATGATAATATAGGCAGTGTTGAATGAAAAAATTGAAAAATGTTAGCAAAAATATGTGTAAAATGAACCCTTAAAAGGATGCTGTGTATGTACATACATAAAAATACATAGAAAAAAAATGCATTAATAACTATAAACAAACACGTTATTGCTGGCCATTTACCGGCAAATATTTCGTATTTTTGTGTTTAATCGGCGCGATTCAAAGTCGTTATTACGACGTTTGTGTTTATAAATGACTTTATATAAATGATTCCTCTTAGGTGTCGATTCCAATTATTATTTAAAAAAAAAAGAAAAGGAAAAACAAATAACAAACTCACGTGTTTTAGAAATTTCAAACCACGCAGTTTTATGTCAATTGTTTTTATGTTTAAAACGTAGAGAAATCTATGCACATTTGAGTAATTCGGAAAAACCAAATACATATTCACTGGATTCTAAATAGAAATTAATTAATACATAGAATCCCATTACAACTCAGATCAAGTGAAAGATAAGAAAACATTTGCATCAAATTCATTTCAAACAAAGGGAAAAGAAATAGAGATTTAATTTTAATAGGTCGGACGGCCAACATAATTGGTTTGGTGGCAAAGATATATAAAGTATTATATGTAAGTAGATCAATGTATACAACGAATATATATATATATATATATATATATATATATATATATATATATATATATATATATAGATAGATAGATAGATAGATAGATAGATAGATAGATGCCATTACAAAACCCAGTTGTTATTTGTAATTGTTTAAACAGTTTACAAATGTTGTAAGGCGTAACTGTTAAAGCTTGTTGTCACATGATCTTCAATTGTATTTAGCAGAATATTCTGGTGTTAAGAGATAATATTGGTTAATGATAATAAACTTTAGCAGATAAAGGTTTATCTCACGGCGATAAAAAAAACAAAAACAAAAAACAAATCAAAGAAAAAACAAGGAAAAACAAGAAAAATCAATAAGTAGTTCGATTTGAAGGTCGATTGAATTTGACAGCCACAGTGATCGAATTCCTTGGAACTTTCGTCAACGTCAACACATTAAACTGCATATAAAAAAGCATCCCCGTGGGAAGAGTCGACGGCAAGTGCAAATGACTTTGAAATTCCAAGGTCTTTGAATGAAACTTGAAATCAGAATACTCAAAAATGACCAATTGACTTATATGATGAAAGGAGTAAGGATATAGACGACTTTTAAACATCGCCATTATTTTTCATGCAATCTGATATGTTGGCTTACTGGAACATTTCATGAAAAATTATTTCTTTCTTTCACAGTGTTTAAATCCCTGATGAAAAGTTCTCAAAAACTTAAACTGATTGGAAAAATTACTATTTCATTTATTGCTTGAAAATGTGCACAGGTCCTACACTTTGATCTTTGTCAGGAAAATGGTCGGGAACAAGTATTATGCAAAATTTTCCGAACAGATCTTTCCTCACGACTTTTAAAAATCCTATTTGAAAAGTCACATTTGCTTACTATTTATACTTTGTACTGTGTTTACACATGTAAAATACAGATTCGAACACCTATTTTTAGCCAGCCAAGTTTTCACAGAGTAACTGAACATATTCTTAGGCATATGTGTTGTGTGTAGCGGACAGAGCTACTGCACGCGTGGTCATGATGAGAAACCGACTCATCTATAGAAGAGTACCATGTGTTTTATTATGAAGCGTACGAGAGAGGCACATTTGGGGGTAAAACTATACAATATAGACACGCCAAAAATACACTCACAAATTATATATAAAAATTATGTGTACGATGAGTTTGACTTCTATTTTTTTTTACTATTTGCTTTATGAGCTCGATTGTTAAAAATTACACACACACACATACATGGGCACTTCGTGGTGGTGTAATGGTTAATAAGCTTGTTTCCATGGAACTATTACGACTGAACAGTGAGTTCGATCCTCTCTGGGTTCCCCATACTTTCGGCCTTGTGCCACATCTGAGCCCCGCTTGGAAAATTACCACATGTGTGTGCGAAGGAGTGCAATATTTGGTTAGTGTTAAGTCGGCCTTTTTAGAAACAGATATTCATTCAAGCAGATCTCATGTGAAATACGCAGTTAGTTTTCGGGAAATACGGTTTCTATATATATGTTTTCTTCTTACTTTTTTCCTTTTTTTTTTTTTAGTACATTTACTAATATCTTATAATTGTAAGAATCTTACCAAATAATACAAGAACCTTAATGATAACTCTTGGCAAATATATTTCCCCCGAATTAACACGCATAAACACGTTGCATCATATCTGTTTTTATGAATGCCCGCTTCTGTTAATGGCGATTTACGCATGTGATTCCTAGTAGTACTATTTTTCTGTTTTTAAGAATAAATAATCGATTTTTAAAATTTTACCTGGCAAGTCCACATCAACTCAATTTTTTTAAAAACCCCTCTTTTTTGATGCGACTTTCATTTTGCAGTTAATTTTACATAAGTCTAATATTACCTACTATTTTAAGTTAAATTGTCTTTCTTTTTTTAACTAGTTACGAGTTATAAATAAACTACAACCGGTAATTTTCCTTTCTGTGTTTCACAGATATATTTTTGCTTAACTAATACGTTTTAAATAGTTATTCATATATGAATTGTGTGTTTAGTGCTTTTAGGGGGTTATCTTTACGCTATGTATTTTGTTTATCACTTTGATTAAGCCTGCTATTCGTGTGTGCGTATTTGTATGTATGTATGTATTTTGTGCGCGCACATGTCACCGCATACTTATATGTATGCGCGCGCGCGAATGTGTGTGCGGGCAGGCGGGAGAACGCCTGTCCAGGGTGTAAGTGCAATTCAAGTAAAAGAAATCGCCCGACACTATCTTTATTAAACTAAATAGGATTTCAAATTCTATGAGTTCGCATTGATTATAATATTCAATTACAACAATCTATAATCAAAACTAATATTTATTGAAAATAAAGAAAATCACAACCCCAAACATGCCTAACAACGGTCACAACTAGTACCCGTAAAGATACTATTACTACTGCTATTACAACGATGCAACAACCCCAGTGATTACAACGAAAACTGTCTTTGTAAATTGTTTTACTACCAGCGTTACAACAAAGAAATAAGTATAATTTAGATTTTTAGAATATACAGGTTCTGATCCTTTTTGCTTTTACTATGAAAATAAAATAAGAAACGAAGACAACGAAAAGAAATTAGAGAAAAAAGAAGAAGAGGAGCGTAAAATAGAAAAAATACTGAACGAAAAAAACTAGCTAAAAGGAAGTATGTTGGAAACTGAAAGAAGTCGTGAAAGAAGAAGCCAAGTGAAAGAAAATTAGAAACTAAACCAAATGAATGAGAGAGAAGGAATGAGAGAGAGAGAGAGAGACGGTGAGAGAGAACAAGAGAAAACGAAATAATGAAGAGAGCAAGAGAAAGGATAAGAAGAGAAAAAAAGAAAAAAATGAAGACAAAAGAAATTTTTCGAATTCACGTGTTTAACAAAAACATATTTTTAGATTACCCGCCATCATTTCAACCATCATCACCACAAACATGAACAATAACGTTTATTTTTATTTATAAGTAATGACATCAATACTCGCAACATAGTTGATGTATAAAAATAACATGTCCAATGGAATAAAAAGCAATCATCATCATCATCATCATCATCATCATCATCATCATCATCATCACTACTAATACTACTACTACTACTAGTAGTAAAATAAAAACAATATTACTTTTACTAAAGGAAATTGATGAAAGTGAAAAAGAATGAAAAAAATTGGAAGAGATTAAAAATCACAAATTGTAAATAATAATAATAATAATAGGACTTGATCTCTTCCTTGCTGAATATTCGGATGCCTCAGAGTAGTTCACGATTAAGGAATTACTGGTAGAAATCATAGCTAAGTCCAGTAAAAACTGGAAAGTGAACTTAGCCGCCAGAGTTCAGTATCTATAGTTCTAAGTTATGATACCAGCATGGCATTGCTTGGGTCTGCGAGGATAGTGGGAGGGGTGTTGGAGATTTGAGGAGATTTGCTGTCACTCGGTCTTCAGCAGTGACCACCAGACATCAAATGTGGATAGACAAATGCATCAATGAAGAAGAAGAAGAAGAAGAAGAAGAAGAAGAAGAAGAAGAAGAAGAAGAAGAAGAATGAATAGACAAATAAAGAAAATGTAACGTACCTGAGGCTGTGTTTTATATTTTAAAATAATTTTGAGACTTGTAAATGAGTTCCTCTACGTATTTCTTTGTTTATTTCATTGTCATTTTCTGGTATTTCATCTCTTGTAAAATCTCCATATCCATTTGAACACTTTTCTTGAGTGATTCTTATGACGTTAAAAACACGATTGTTATTTCTAGTTTTCGATGTACTCACAAGTTTTCGTGGACATACGATATATGAGCTTTTTTTCTCACTCGATCATGTATAACCTGTGTCCGTATGTATCTGTGTGTCTATAAGTGTGTTTGTGTTGTGCATAGGTGATAAATTGTTTTGTTTTGCGTTTTTGTGTTGTTGTTTCCGATCTTCGTGATATTGGCGAGGCGAGTTGCAGGAATGAACGAAGCCTCAACTTAGAAGTTTGGTTCTTACAAAGCTTTCATACGCTCGAGATCTGTCTTAGTTTTTCTCTCTCTCTCTCTCTCACACGCACACACACACACGCACGCACACACGCACACCTACTCTCTCGCACTCACTCACTCAAATACGCATGAACTTCTCACTCTCCCTTACTCTTCTCTCTTGGTAAACCTTACCGCTCACCGTTCGGCATGCACACTAAAAGCCTACGTCACGGAAAGCTACGAACTCGCCATCATATGCATTCTACTTTATAGCATAATCTAGCTGTCACAGCTTCTCTTTCTTTTTAGCTATCTTTGTATAGACTGGGTGAAAAGGTGAATTTACATCCCTGCCTTGGGCTACTTTTTCACCACCACGCCCACTGCGATTGGTAGATTAATTTATTACTAAAGTCCATCATAGAGGAGAACGATAATTTTTTGTGTTACCCTTAAAGAGAAAGGTAAGTACACATAGACACATAAATATATATTTATCGGTACAGAGAGAAAAGAATAAAATAACTGGGGTGGGTAAAGAAAGAGTAGTAGAAAGAAAGAGAAAGAGGGAGACGGGCTTTCAATTCAACCAAGTTACGCACGTACTCATCCAAAAGGGAAGAGTAATAAAACTAGAAACTTCTTGATAGATTTTACTCTCTTGCCTATCGTATATAACACCTTAAGGAGAAGTTTATCAACTACTATATGCTAAAGATAAAACTATATTTCGAAAGTATCTTTGAATATCTTTCCGTATTGATATTAAAAATCATTTCAATCAGAATTTCTCGACCTTTTTTAGCTTATGGCCCACTTTGAACCCAAAATTTTTCTGTGGCCCATTGATTTATTATACTGCAAAAAATGACTTCCATTTTGTGGCCCATAAGCTTTGGCCGATATATTAACCTGGTGGCCCAGTAAAAATTATAAAACTTCTGTGGTCCATCAGAAATTTGCCATGGCCCATTCTGACCATGTGATCATAGGTTGGGAAACACTGATTTAAATAACAATTTTTTTGCATTTTTTGTGCTATAGGGGTGGTAGAGTACTTCAGCCACTTTTCACTTTTTTTTTTTTTTTTTTTTACTGAAACTGAGAACTGAACAGAATACTAAATTTGTCCTCTTCGTCTTCAATCTGTAACAATACTATTGAGCTGTATCATTTTTCTAAAATCATTACTGTGATTAAATTTCAAAACAAATCATTACTCTTCATTTTCCGTCTTTCCCCCCAAGTACTTCTTGGGGGGAAAGACGGAAACTTAACTTCTAAAACTTTTACGTAAGTCTTATCTGCAGAATGTCTATAGGTCACATTTCAGAAAATAAGTAAAAAAAAAAAAGAAAAAAAGAGAAATAAAATCGTGCAATTAAAATCAAAGCCAAAATGATTTAAAAAATGTCATTTCTTAACCTGTCGTATCAATATATTTCACCTTAAAGGGAAGTTTAGCCGCTATTATATACTTGAATATTAATATATTTAGAAAGATTCATTGAATATCTATCCGTGTGGATATTAAATATCAATGAAATACTTTTGTAAGTAGCATACCACTTCAGGACTTAGGCGATCATGGCCCTCTACAGATTCCGTGTTCTTATTATTTGTGAGCTGTCATGTGTTCTTTGGAAAAGTGGTTTCCTTTGCCTTCTCTGCGGTTCTGAAATTCAGAGTTTCTCTTCTCATAGACTAGTAGCCACTCAATGTTAGCGAGTCCAGTCTACCCTGCTATTTAACTAATAGAATAGAGCAGTTGGATTCGTACATTTAAAAAACAAAAGCATTTGCGTGAAACGGAATGCAACAACATTGGCTGGAATTTGAACTCAGCTCACAGATTCCACTAAAAAGTAAATATTCATTTTATGAGAGGATCAAATAAAAAAAAATCAGGAACCTTTAAAATCTACACCCCACCCCTTTTAACATCTGTTTTATCACCGACCCGACTTTAATTTTGTGGCAACTTGTTTAGAAATTCACTAACCAATTGTTTCTAGCAAAACCAGATCCCCAGTTTTTTTACTTTTAGTTTCAAACAACCATATTATCTTTAACACTTTTTTCCCATGTCTCCTTTCATTTTTTAAAGAGTTTTTGAAAATTCACTTTCAAAACAGGACACGTATGTTTTTAATCATTTCACTCCAAACAAGGTGATAAAGCCACTAAGACACAAGGAGATACTGACAAGAATCTGAGAAAAACATTAATGGGAAATGACAACAAAAGAAAAAGATTTAAGAAAACAGAAGAAAATGATTAATACTACATTTAAATTTTTGAAGATCAAAGTTGCCTAGAAAGCAAGTAGCCGGAAGAGAGTTTCACAAGCAAGAAGTGCGAGAGAAGAAACTGTTAGAAGGAAACCGAGAAAATCAACTCATACCACGCGACAATGCCACTAAGTCGCAAAGGGCTACTGGAAGTGAAAGAGAATGAAAAGATTTTAGATTGAACCGGAAACCCAATCCTAAACAAGAAACAAATGATAAACCTCTACTCCTGTACAAAAGACCGGGGAGGAGTGTGAACCTGACGATAGACAAACCTATCGACTCCTATTGAGGAAAAGTAAATAAATAAATAGTAAATAAAATTTCAGAGTTTAAGTGAAGACGCTAGAAGTATAGAGTTGAAGTAGACTTTAGAAGGAACCTGAAACTCGGTGCTAAACAAGAAACAATAGATAAACGGGAGGAATATGAACCGGACGTCTAGGAAGCAGAAGATGTCGATTAAGGTTGCATTTGTGGATTGCAGTTGATATGAAAACAAAAAGTTGGAAGAGAGTTCCACTAGCGAGATAAAGAAACTGTTAGAATAGAACTTACGGTTACATCTACAAATTCAATTGTAAAATGGTGAAACCCACCTGCCAATCTAGTACTGCGTTTAAATTCTTAAAAGGGAGATATCAAAGACGAAAACTCATCAAAACAATTACCATGAAAATATTTATAGATAAGACACAGGGATAACTACGTTATGGTTGTGGGAAAATGACTGATACGGAGATGCCAGATCAGGACCAATAACATTGCAGATTCTTATTTGGATTTTGTCAAAAATGTCTAGATATATAGCAGAAGCACCAGATCATATATGGCAGCATATTTTATGCAAGTACTTATACTGTAGATTTATAAAGGTGTAAGATTGATACTGGCGTGAAAAATTGCCTAAAACCACACAATGGACCAATGTTGCTAGTTGAAGACCCAGTAAATGTGTCACTCGCTTGGAGGTTAGCATCAGCCATACCAATCGCAGGTAGAAAACCTTTTGCCTTCGATCACGGTTTAAAGAGAACAGGTTCGTTTTGGAAGCGTTAAAATTAATATGCCATTTTTTGCCCCAGTTATCAACAGGCCATTTTTTTTTTAGATCAGCTGTCAATTTGACTATAACGAATCAGTCAGATTTACTGTTAAGACAGAAGGGAATAAGTGTGTCATCAGCATAGACATTGACATAACTATGAAAAATAAGGAATATTTCTATGAGGTTTAAATCGATTCCTTCCTTACAATCGTCAGTACGAATCAACGAGTCAGATGCCGTCGTCAGTTTCAGTATTTTATAAGCATTACGCCCACGATAGTATTTCGTCATTAGTGAATAATGAATCTGCTCGATTAAGTTTGACATAAATCTATGGCTGGTCCCTCTATATTTTCTTTTTGCATTCCATTGTAGATGCTGAGGTCACCAGAACTAATATGGTCAAATAAACTGATAACCATTCTAGTCAAATTCTTCCGCTTGACAATGACATAGTTTGTATTTTGTCATTTTAGGTAGTTTTATAGAGGTTTTCCAAGCGTAGCTTAGATATGGCACAAGGCCTAAAGTATGGGGAACCCAGTGAGGATCGAACTCACTTCTCATTGTTCGTAGCAAGATAAGCTTGCTGACCATTACACCGCCTCGAGGTGCCCCGTTTGTGCGTTCCATTGGTTTAATTTATTCAGTCGCTGAGCCTTGCTTTTTTTTTTACTTCGAATAAATTAGGATAGAGATTTGCAAAACTAAAAATCAAATTTCCTAAAGATTCAGGAGTACAAGGAATTAAATAAATAAAAACAGAAAAAAAGAAAGAAAAAATACAAATAATATAGAAAGAAAGGATCTGTGTAACAAAGCAAGAAAACTGCGTGAAATAGCTATCGAAAGGAAGAAATAACGAAGGAAAAAAGAATAAATGAATTTTGAAAATATAGAAAGAAATAAAGAAGGAATATTTTAAATAAATACGAAAGAAGATTTTAGATAAATACGAAAGAAGATTTTAGATAAATACGAAAGAAGATTTTAGATAAATACGAAAAAAGAAAATAAGTAGAAAATTATAAATAAATATAAAAGGCATGTAAATTAATGAGATCTTGGTGAATATGAACGAATAACAAGAAAAATCAATTTTTCTATAACTTATTACAGAAGTATTGATCAAAATATTCCTTGGGCATCAATAACTGTTTTGTAACATTTTTGCGGTATGATTTGAACCTGTCTTATTTATGCTAGCTGAACAGACAACCACAAAACACGCGTTAGATATTGACTTATACACGATCCAAACCATTAACTTCCACACACGTCTACAGACGTAACCGTTATATATACGCTTACATCTCGTATTATTGACCCGCCCACTTTAAGAGTGACACGCCTCTTTTTCTATGATTACAAATATGAACATTATTGTAATGACGGTTTTCCCTGTTTTAAGAATATCTACTGTTTTATGAATTGTATCATATGATACTATTTAATTGGTTGTATTTAAGTAGGCTAAGTGTTCGTTGTTGGAAATTAATTGGTAGATAATTTGATAGAAGAGATTTTCGAACAAACACTTTTTAATAACTATCTTTGGGCGAGAGAGCCATGTCTAGACTTTGTGATTGTAGCTGACTGATGTATAGCACTTATCTCTGGTTTTCCGAAATACTTTTCATATTATTGATTCCGCAGTAAGAAAAGATCATAAATAAAATATAGATGATTGATTTTGTCAATAATAAAATTATTTATTTATATTTGTATAAATATTATCAACGGCGTCCGGGACATCAATATATCTGAAGCCGAATAACGAAAAAAAATCATATATTTTACACTCAGTCAGTTATGATACACGCTTAGGCGATCACATATACCTTCGATATATGACTGATAAGGAAGATTTTTTCCCGCAATACGTTGCTATTTCTTTCTGCGGTAGTTGTTTTGGATGGCTATAAAACCCGGAGGGAGAAAAAGAAGATTCATACCTTTCTCAAGGGTATTAACACGT